ACGGGTGTCAAGCTAGTTAAAAACAAACCACATATCCAGGGCAATTCAAGGAGTTTGCACTGAGGCTGGCCTGCCCTTTTACTTAAGAAGAAAGTCCTTGATTTAACGACTGCAATTGAGCCCAACATTTCTGGTGTTAAGTGAGATGTTGGTTAAGCGAGTTTTGCCAACTTTTACGACCCCCCCCTTTTTTTTTGCCTCAGCGAATCACTGTGGTTTGATAAGTAAGTCGCCCGGTTGTTAAATGAATCAGGTTGCAAAAGGGGATCCCGCGACCCGCAGAGGCGCTGCGGCCGTCACAAAAACGAGCCAATGGCCAAGCCTCTGAGTTGCATTACATTACGCCGGGGGCATTAAGTGTGACAGTCATAAGTCATTTTTTCCCAGTGCTGTCGATACTTGGAACGATCACAAAACGAAGTCAAGGGCTACCTGTAAACTTATATGGTGCTGCCATGTCAGGAGGGGAAAATGGATTTAATTTTCCTATTGGAATTGCAATTTCACTGTAATTTCTAAAGCTCTTTTCCTGTTTTATTCCTCTGAGGGCTGGCTTACCGGGCTGGTGGCGTCCTTGCCAAGGCTTCCTTTACTGTTCAGGCTTCCAATTTCTGTCTGGGAACTGGACTGGGACATTCCTTCAAAGAAAGGTCTGGGAAACAGAGCAAAATTGGGATGAAATGGCTGCCCAGAAATGGGGTCCCTAATTTTCCCAAGAACGGGAGAGGGTTTCCCCAAGGAAAAGTTAGAAATCTCCCTGGAAATAGCCATAGCTCTTAGACTTATATGCCGCTTCGCAGTGCTTTACAGCCTGCTCTAAGCGGTTTACTGAGTCAGCCTCTTGTCCCCAACAATCTGGGTCCACGTTTTACCGACCTGGAGCCTGGTGAGATTTGAACTGCCAAACTGAAGTCAGTCGGCAGTCAGCAGAAGTAGCAGAATCATCTATGTCTGTCTGTCTGTCTGTCTGTCTGTCTATCTATCTATCTATCTATCTATCATCTATATCTATTTATCTATCATCTATATCTATCATCTATCTATCTACCTATCTATCTTTCTATCTATCATCTATATCTATTTATCTATTCATCTATCATCTATATCTATCTATCTATCTATCTATCTATCTATCTATCTATCTATCAT